ATAGGATTTGGAGGTTTATTCAATAAGTGATCTTCTTTGCGCACAAGCTTACTCACATTTCTTAGAGGTACAGTCAAAGTTTTCGCGTTATAAAAGCCGTAATCTGTGCCAAGGCTTTATCTGGCGATTCATGTTATTGGCGCTCAAGAAAGTCAGATCGACCGCAGCTGAATTGTAGCGTTACTGCAGCTACTTCGCAGCGTTTGAAAGTCGGCAACTGCGCTGCAAAACCGCTGCCGAGAGCTTCAAAGAGCCTTCAAAGGCTGCACAGCGCTTTTGCATCCCGCTGCAACTTGAATGAAGCTGCTGTTTGGCTTCTAAAAGGCTGCTGAACAGCTGTAATTTAGCTGTACAGCTATTTTGCAGCGATTTTGTGGCACTGTACAGCGCTGCAAGTTTCGTACGGGAATATCCATGACCACTACACCCTACCAAACAATGGAAAATGTGATTATAATATTAAGTACTCATTTTTTTTCCTTGTTTTCTTTTTTTTTTCAGCTTGGAATGTTTTTCCATCTTTACAAAACTTACAATGTGATGCAGAACAGGTTAGCAAGAAAACCAACCTACCATCTGATCTGACAACGATTGCTGCCAACAAAGGATTTGTTGTTTCTGATAACCAAGCATCCGGGAACTGTTTATTCTATGCATTATCAGAACAATTACAAAGTGTCAAAGGAATTCGAATCTCACAAAGAGCTAAGAAAAACGTTGGTTCAGTTTCTCGATGAGAACCCTAATCTGGTAGGTTGATGACTAGCCTAACTAATGGGCCTTCCATGTCTGTTTGACGGATTCCTCCCATATGATAATCATTTAATAATAATAATATTAAATTATTCAATAATAATCATAATCAATTATAATCATTTCCCTTAACTCAGTTCGACGATTCTTTGCTAAACTATATATTGGATAAAAACAAGGATTGAACATAACAAAAATGAACTGTAGTATTATGGGATCAAGACTAGGCTCTCTTGATCTTCTTTGAAATCACCCACCTCTTCATATTTAGTCTGAAATACTTAAGCTTTGAAAGTGAAACTTGGAGGGTAATAACAACCAAAAACAACCATTTTAGGTCACTTGTCTTGGTGTCATCACACAAATTATACATCATGACTTGAAATAGTTGCCTTCTGTCACCATCTAAGGTTACAGGTGACCTTAACAGTTAGCAGTATGATTTCCCTCCTAAAACCACTTCCAGAATTTGGAGAGAATCAAAATAATTCATTAACAGGACTGCCTCAAGGTGGGCCCAGTTTATAAAATACCTTTCATTTTCTCCCCAGGGGGTATTTCTGGGAAGTTGTAGTGGGGGTGTGCTGTTCAACTCTCCAAATCTTAGCACTATTTCAGAGCAATAGTTGTAAGGGAATACCCCCCAGGGATTTTCTACGTCGAAAAATGTAGACTATCAATTATTAACTTAGTAATAGCAAAGCACGTTAAGTGAAGGCAGCCACATCCTCGGAGACCCAGGGGCAGCTAGTCAGGACAATAGAATGTCTGTGGTGAAAGTTTACTATAAGATCGAGAGGAGCCCCTGGGCACTTAATCTTACTGAACCAGTTCCAGAAGCATTTGAACTGCCTGCTTCTGATTGGCAAGGAAAAAAAATTCTGGCCAATCAGCGAAGAGGAGCAGCCGGTGACTGTGGTGTTTTCTTACATGACATAGGTTTCCTCATTGATCACCATTGTTGTGTAGTGCATTTAACTGGGGAAGTTTCTGGAGGAAAGTTCCAGAAAAAAACTGTTAACAAAGCTGGAAAAGTTTGCAAAGGTGGTGGTGCCGGAAATGTCTGCAAAGGTGTGGAAAGTGGAAGTCATGCATCACGTATCAGCAATAAAAATTTAAGATACCTTCGACAGATCCACTCAAAAATTCATCGGAGATTGTTGTTTCTTGTAGCCGTTCTAAAGCTTGCATTTTTTCCGGCTTCTTAAACATTTTGTTGTGAAGCTAATTCCTCAATAAACTGTCCCCTTTGAGCACCGTGCACAACTATGGCGATCCATGAGGAAACCTACATCATGTAAGAAAACACCAGGGAAACAAAATGAACTATGAGGTATATATATTCACTTGGACAGTTTGAAAGGCTTCAGACAAAAACAAAACTTGAATTTTAATTTGCTTTGTTAGTTTTAAGAACGAGAATTGAGAAATGTACTGCTGATTCATGTTATACTGTCATGCCATATTTTGGGGGACAGAGGGATTGAGGGAGGGGTGCTAATCTGTTCCTACTTAGAGTGGCTAACTTGCTTATTTTTGTTGTTAATGGTGGAATTTAAAAGTGACTATACGGCCCGACAAAAAGTGGTACTCATTTTTCTTGTTACGAAAGTCTTCCAAAAGGTTACAGTGTTCAAATGAATTTATGTTTCACTCGCACATGAGATTCTATGTCACGCAATGGTCAGGGACAAGGTTTTATGGTAGCCTGATTGTGTGCAACCGCCCCCTCCCCTTAAAAAAAGGTCACTCCTTGGCAGCCCAGTGAAAATCACCTTTTGGCATTATTCTAGTTTTATTTGAAATTCGTCTCCCAGCAAACCCTCCCAGCAAATCCTAATGAGCCGAAAGGCCTCTGTGGATAACACCCTCCTTGCTCAATTCTTCATATCCCACGAAAGCCAAATTCATTAATTGCTTTATTATTCATTCAAAATAATTCCTAGTGTCAAAAAATAGCTAAAACATGCTTACCTGCATCGATGTTAAGTTCATCTTCGATAGTGTACGTTTAGGTTTGTCCAGCTCCGCAAATATTCTCCGAATAGCAGATGTCACCCTCTGAGTTGTCTTCTTGCTGTTTTTGCCATGTTTTTAGCTATTATTTCGTCTAGTTCCAGCTGTAGTTCTTACTCTTGAAACGAGTGAAATGTCAGCCTTTTTTTTCACAACCAAAACAACTCAACCTCATCCCCAGGTCTTCTCAGTTAACGGTGCTTTAACCTGTAGCGGGCTGCATTTTTGACATCATTTCCTAGTTAGACACAAAATTCTTCCAAATTTGGTCATCAGTAACTGGTTATGGTGAATTATGTGTGTGGTTTTAGCCAATCAGAATTGGGAAAATATTTTGAATGAATAATAAGTGGTTTTAAAGGCTACCCTAGCCAATCACTCACTTTTAAATAAACTTTAAATAAACTTTCTAGCAGATTAAAATCACTCCATGTCTATGCTGCCTAGTCAGAAAAAAATGAAATTCACTTTTTGTCTTGCTTCATTGTTTTTGTTTTTTAGCATGAAGGAACATCTCTGTTTAACTTTCTCTCTGGATACCCATCTTGGCGTGAATACTTACAAAGCATGGCGAAAGACGGTACTTGGGGCGATCATGTGGTTTTGTTTGCTGCAGCAAATCACTTTCAAACTCCCATCCGTATTATCAGCAGTCTCGACCGTGAGATAGTTGTTCAGCCAGATCATGCACTTGCTGATACCAACCCCCTTGTGTTGGGGCACATTCACGAGTTACACTATGTCAGCCTTCAGCCCAGACAAGGTAAAACATTCTTTCCAATCACAGACATCCTTTTTTTTCTTTTTTTGGACTTGTGGGATTATGTTTGCTGAATTTATATACATATATCAGTAGCAGAGGACATTGCAAGATGATGATGATACTATAAATGTCTCTATGAGAATGAAGTTTAATTTTTTTCTAAACAATAAGTTGTCGCTGCTTAATCTGAATATACTAGTTGTATAATTATAAGATGTTATTCCATTGGATATTGTAAACTCCTACTAATTTACCTCTACTGTAATAAAAAATTGCAGAGATACTAGAGAACTCTTGCACTAGCCTGATTCCTTTATGGTCTGGAGGTCACTCGCTCAAACGCCATTAGCTCGTTAGCTAAAATATTATGTTCCCGACTATTGTACAATGAATAATTAGAACATTAGTGTTGTTATTTCTGAATAATTTATATAACTGATCACTGTGAAGAATAACAGTAGTTTATTGTGTAAATAAATAGAGTGGTGATGCAATTTTGACCCAAACGCCTTGAAGTCTAGCCTGCGCCACGGACAAAACTAAACTCTGGTTAAGTCCATCTGCGAAACAGCGCTGAATTCCTTGTTCCTGACCCCCAGCTGTGTACGTACCAGGATTTGAGTACGAGCCATGATTGGCTTGTTAAAATGCCATTGTTGATTTGCCAAATAAGATGAAAGGAATTTCGAAAACGTTCTTCTGGTAATTCATTGAGTCCCTTGGGAGCCAGAGTAAGGATATTGGTGCTGCTTCACAGACATTACTAACTGAAGTTAAATTAGGTTTGTGATGCAGGCTGCTTGAAGTCATTTTAGTATATGGAACATGCATGGGCTTTTCACAAATCTGAGCTCAAATCTGTTGCATAACATGATTATTAAGCTCCATTACCAGCCGCTGTTCGGGAAAATGAGCCCACACTCACCCAGTCCAAGAATCGTCGTGAAATCCAAAAAAAATATTTTGGAAATCGAGAAAAACGTTTTTTCACGTGCTACTTGTGCCAGCAGTCAGCCAGCGTCATGCCAACGTTTTCCCGCCATTTCCCACATCCAAACTGGCGAAAGAAAGAGGTTAGAAATATCGAGTACAATGTTCTGTCATAAATGTGGAAGAGAATTTGGCAACAATGAAACATTCTGAAAACTTTTTTTTCGATTTCCAAAATATTTTTTTGGGATCTCACGATGATTCTTGGACTGTAAACTGTTTTAGAGTTTTATAAAAAGTTATTAGCGGATCCAACAAGTTTCTTAAGATTTGCAATGTTTTTTTTAGATTTGCCAGACTCTTCAATAATGATTTGTACAAAAATTGCGATTTGAAATAATTTTTATGGATTTGCAAAATAATTTCGGATTATTGAGAAAGTTATTTGTGGATCCACTAATTTTCATAGGATTTGCAATAGTTTTTTAGATTTGTCAAACTTCTCGACAGTGATTTTGAAAAAAATATTTCGATTTGAAATATTTTGTGGGATTTGCAAAATATTTTTGGATAATGTCCCTTTTCGGCTTTGATATTTTTTCTCATGGTTGTGACAAATGTACTACTGATTATAATTACTTTGCTTCCAGTTTGTGTGAAGTCAAATCAGCCTACTGTCATGCAAGCAATAAAGAGGAAGAGAGATGTGGCTGAAGACTCAGATGAAGAAGGTAATGTTTGTTGTTAGAAAATAAGTTCACTTATAGTTGAGTGGAAATGTGATCTCTGTACGTAAGGCTGAGAAAGAAGACCAACTTTAATCATACCATCTTTTTTGGGGTTATGGAGGATCGGGGGGGGGGGGGGGGGGTGTTTTAATTTGGTATGTTGTGTTATAAAAAGGAGAGTGGGATTAGTTAGTTGTGATAGTGTGTTCTTTGACAGAATGGGGAGGAACAAGAGAGTTATATATTGTGTGTTTTTGTTTGGGGGTGTGGGGGGGGGGGGGGGGGGGGGGGGTGGTGTTTGAACTTGGAAGACCCTGAGAGGGGGAGGCCAATTTTGTTTGGGTGATATATACAAGGCTAGGGGGTGGTTTACTTGTAACTAACTGCCTTTCAACATGGGTGTGTTTTAACTGAACCACTCACACAACACATTGTTATTATAATATTATTATTAACTCATTTTTAATTATTTTTTCCTCCTCTGATCAGAATCCAAAGTTTTAAAATCTTCAGGGGATACACCCAACAGTTCAGAGGACAGTGATGGTAACACTCACCAGATTACCGCTGGTCTCCTGTCTATTTCATCAAAGAATACTGCAAGCAACACAAAGAACCAAAGAACCACATCAAAAAGAAAGAGAAAGAAGAAAAGAAAGAGAGAAAGAAAAGAAAGGACTCTGAAAGAGTGCATTAGGGACCCTCCAGAGCTCAACAAAGTTCTCCCATCCTTGGCTGACATTAAGGCAATAACCAGACCTTCAAAACATGCTGATCTTCCTGTTGATGTTTTGTTACTGACAGTGAAGAATTGTGAATTTGTAGCTTGTTTCAGTGAGCTAAAAAAACCCTATAGATGTTGGTTTGATGGTCTTGGCTACGTTTACTTTTCTGATGTGGATGGAAGTCAAGATAAAGTTAAAGTTGCATTATTTAAATGTTACCAGAACAGTAGTTGTCCTGGTGGTTCTCTCGTCTCTGTTAAGAATGCTGCCACTCTGCTTAGGCCTAAAGCAGTCATATCTGTTGGTGTATGTAGTGGTCTTCACCCTGAGAAATCCAAGTTAGGAGATGTTGTTGTTTCTGCCAAATTAACAACATATGCATCCAAAGTGGTGATCGATAATCAAGAACATTCAACTGGCATGAGAAATTATGTGAGCAAACGTTTCCTGAATGTCATTAAGAATTGTGCTGATGGCTGGAAAGCACCTTTGAAGAATGTTGCTGATGCTCAACAAGAAGTTCAAGTTTATACTGCTGCTGAGTTTCTGAGTGGACCAGAACAAGTCATTTCTGGACAGCGACGTGATCAAGTTGCTGAAACCAATCCTCAGGCAATAGCAATGGAAAATGAAGGGGAAGGTAAGTTGACTGTTGTTTTTGTTTGTCATTACAACATAATAATTATACGTAAGTACACTGTACATGTTTGATTATTGCAAGTCTTGCCTGACCCTCTGGAAAAATTATTTCTTATAAACCATCCCCTACCCTTTAAAATTTTTGGCATTTTAATCTTCGTCCCTCTCCCCCACGGAAATTCCATTGATTATCCATGGGGAAGTTATGGATATTTTTTGGAAAGACATATTCCATTTATAGGTTATGGTTCACCTTTATACTTGGTTTAAATTTTATTTTTCTTTGTCTGAAACTCATTATCATACATCACCATACTCCAAAATAATGGAAAATAAAATAAAGACCAAGGACAAAATATTAATTATTGAACCACAACATATACAAAGTTAACTGAAACCTTCCATAAAAGGTAAATCTTTTTTTCCTTAACTTTCTTCATGAATCAGCATGATTTGGGCTTAAAGAATGGTAATGACATTAAAATTTAGAACTTTACTCGAGGTGGAAAGAAAGCATAAAATATTAAATAAATTCAACACCTTGCTGGCCAGGAGCCTTTTGTTTGAGGTTGATTCTTGAATTACCCCACAGGGGACTTTAGGAATCTAAAACTTCTCTGTCAAGGTCATGCCATTATTTTTGTAAAAAATTGCTGATACTTGTAAAATGTTCTGCTCCTTACCCCACCCTCCCTTTAGTAAGTTAATATGTTAAGTATGCGACCCTAATGTTCCACTGGTAAGCAGTGAGATGGCGCCAGTGTGGATGCCACTCAAAGGGTTGTCAAGGTTATGTGCTGCACTTGGTAGCATTTTGGGTCCACAAGCCTTGCAGGCACCTCGCCATCACTCATCTTTGAGTTTTAATATTACACATTAATTTTTACAGACCTTTTAAGCAAAAATGGCTGCTGTTGTTTTTCCATACTCTGAAAATTTGTCCAGTTCTTGGTTTATAGTCTGTGTAGTTGTGATTGATTTAAATAAAACTGATCTAAATTTAAGAGATTTCTATTGGAAAAAGCCACCCTAGCCCACCGTGCCTTATGTTTCTTTAAGTTAACTTCTCATAGAATAGGAGTAGACTTGTACCCTTAAAACTCCATAAACTTTAATCTTAACTTTACTTTAATTTGATGCGTAATGTAAATAGTCTAATTCTATTGGTACGTTTTTAGAGGTGTGCTAAAGCAATAGCAGCTGCATGATGTCTCTGAGGTCCACACAATTTTTTTTGTGCGTGTACACAGGACTGTCTTAAAACTAATGTACTGTTTGTTTTGTTTTCCTACAGGAGTATTTGCAGCAGCATTTGACTGTGAAATTGAGTGGTTAATTGTGAAAGGAATAGCTGATTATGCAGATGGCTCTCAGTTGGCTTCTGAGAGTTGGTCTTCCTGTGCAAGTGTGATGGCCGCATCTCTTGTTGCACACATTTTGAATGAACCCTGTGCTTTTTATTCATGGCCTCATTATCAAGGTAATCATTCTCATAGAGGGCATATGATTTATTGAATCCATTGGTGGGTTACTTAGTACAGTCACAGATAAGCTACATGGTATAAATTATATACAATTTCGGTACACACATGTATTATCCCAAATTTAGGTGTCCAATACACACTACTTGTTCAAATTGTGTAAGTTAAGATTCAAGTTGCGCAAGTCATATGAGTGATAGGAATTGTCAAACAATGTCTTCCATTTGTGTGATTGGTTCACATAGTGAATGTGTTCCCTTAGTATTGGACAAGCCCGGATTTTGTTTAAGGTGGAGATAAACCAATATTTCAACAAACCACATGGTACGCCCACAACCCATGTTTCTTGTCAGTAATCCGTACATCTTGATTTATCACTTGCTTTATCATCTTTTTTTTTTTAATATTCTGTTTAAGATCAGATTTTATCTCGATATCATATTTTATCTGTTCCTGTGATAGTTTTAAAATGTTGTTAGCAGAGAGTTTAATGAAGGAGGATAAAAACGCTAACCCCGATTTGAACGATTTTGATGTCATCATGATATATCAATCAGTCATTTTGTCTGTTTTTCTTTGTTAAATTTTAAAATTACTTGACTAAGATTTGAGATTGTTAGGCGCGGTTCAGACGCCCAACTTTTCATGAGCCGAACCTAATTCGAATTAAGGCCGACCCAGATTATTTCGACCAGCTGAATTGATTCAGACGCCGATCTTAATTGCAGCTGAACTAAGTTCAAAAGGTGAAAAATGCTCATTTCGGTCAAATTGCTTACAAAATACATTATAATGATTTATGCATTAGGTTCGGTACATGAAAAGTTCGGCGTCTGAATCAAAGCGGTTCCAAAGTCGCTCCAAAGACGAAATTCTCGGCCGGGCTAGGCGAAAAGAACGGTTGAGCCGTTCCAAATTGAAACAGGCCTTCCTAATTGATTCAGACGCCGAACTTTTCATGTACTTAATTCAGTGTAGTAGGTTCGGCTCATGAAAAGTTCGGCGTCTGAACCGGGCATTACTGGTTCATATGACTTACTATTCTGAAATAATTACTTTTCCATGCTATTCTCATTGATAGTGATATTTTGATATTTTATTTAACCACTTTTTCAAGTAAATAGTGTTAATTGATTGTTTCTCCGGCAGGGCTTCAGCAGCATGAGTACAAGGACGGTCCAACCGAAAGGAGACCATCAACATCTTCATCCGGCAACGCGTCACATGACTCGTCATTCAACCGCACTCAAACTAACGAACGAAAATTAGTTCCTTCCATCATCGAAGATATGAAGAAACATGTCCAAGAAGTCACTGAACAGCCTTACGGAGATCTTAAATCACCTTTTCATAATCCAGGTGAAGGACCCAGAAGAGATCTGAAGCTTGACGAAATCTTCACCAATCTAATTATTTATGAGGGAAGAGTTAAGTATAACTTTTCTGGAGACAGAATGAAACAACTACAAGAGTACCACAAAGCCAATGAAAATTTGCGACCAACGCGTCCAGGAGATATTTTTGGTGCTAAAAAATGGAAGATTCTTGTTGTTGGTCGTCCTGGAATTGGAAAAACCATGTTCAGCACAAAGATTCTTCGCGACTGGGCGTCCGACACCTTGTTTAACAAAACTCAAAAATCGCAAATAGATTTTAAAGTTGCCTTCCTCATTAAGCTGAGGATGTTTAACTCTAGAAGCAAAGAACTAAATCTTCGCGAGCTTCTGGATCACTCAGAATATTCAACAGCTCTTTCCGAAGAGATCTGGAACTACATTCGTCACAACCCAAAGCGAGTACTGGTGATTTTTGATGGATTTGACGAGTATTCTTATAGGACTGAAATCAGTAAAGATGACGTTCCGTACAGAAACAATGAAGAAGACAAGGTGCCTGTCCATTTCCTGCTGAAGAAAATAGTAACGGGAAAAATTCTTACCGGCGCAACTGTCTTAACGACTACAAGACCCAATGCCGTGTCATGTGTCAGAAGTCTTAACTTTAACAGAGCAGTTGAAATTCTGGGATTTACAACTGAGCAAGTGAATGACTATGTAGGGAAGTTTACAAAGCTGGAAGACAAAGCAGAAACCATAAGGCAACACATCACCAGTAACTTAAACCTTCTAGCCTTCTGCTACATTCCTGTAAATTGTTTCATCATTTGTTCATGCTTGTTAGAGTTGCTTGTCAACACTAGCTTAACCAGCCTCCACTACCTCCCAACAAAACTGACAGAAATATACTCCATTGCAATAAAGATGTTTTACTTTAGTTACGATGATGGTCAGTATCGCCACAACAAAACTGAAGGACAACAGTTCTTTCTAAAACCATTTAAGGAACTGCCCTCCTCTGTGCAAAAGGAGTTCACAAGTCTGGGAAAAATTGCTTTTAATGGCATTCAAGAGGAAAGATTAATTTTTGAATCGCGTGAGGTTAACAGCCTAGAGAGTAATGGCCTGTTTCACCGTTTACCTGATACTAAAGACCATCCTTTAGCAGAGGGAAGAGAACAATATTGCTTTTTACACCTGACCGTACAGGAGTTCTTGGCGGCGAAGTATTTGGTAGACACGTCGAGTCCCAAACAACTGCGGGGTTTTGTTTCCGATCACATCCATGATGGCGCCTGGAGGGTTGTGATGCAGTTTGTGGCTGGACTGCTGGCTGAAAAAGAAGGACAATCAACAGATATTTTCAGCGACCTTCTTCCCTCAAACACGGTTACTAAAGAAGTTAAAATCAAGTTGGATGAAGACTCAGAGGAACGAACTGAAACACTGACGTGGTGGCCAGCTCGTGAAGACCAAGCTTTAGTGGTGACGCTATTCAATTGCATGTATGAGAACAAAGCCTCTGATCGAGAAGTTCAAAAGAAACTGGAGAAAATTGGTTGCAATTCGCTTTATTTTAGTTGGTGTAACCTGTCACCTCTCGACTGTTTAGCGTTAGTGCATGCACTTAAATCTATTGAAGGAATTTTGTATTTTGATTTAAGCTTCAACAACCTTCAGTCGCTAGGATGTATTGAGATTGCGAAGTTGTTATCTGACAACGAACACAATCAGGGTTTTTGCGAACTAAAAAGATTAGACCTCAGTGGTAACAACATAACTGATGACGGTGTTAAACATTTATCTACAGCACTCACACACACTAACTGCAAACTAAACAGCTTAAACCTCAGCCGTAACAACATAACTGATAAAGGAGTTAGACATTTATCTACAGCACTCACACGCACTAACTGCGAACTAAATAGCTTAAACCTCGACCATAACAACATAACTGATAAAGTTAAAAATCTCGTAAACTCATTGAACATAAACTGTAAAGTTTCTCTCTTATCCTTGCCTGCAATGTAAATGTTTCCCTGTTGAAGGAATTTTGGATTTTGATTTAAGCTTCAACAACCTTCAGTCGCTAGGATGTATTGAGATTGCGAAGTTGTTACCTGGCAACGAACACAATCAGGGTTTTTGCGAACTAAAAACATGTTAATGTATGGGTAGTTTAGCTGGATACAGTACCTAAATGTTTAACTCCGTCATTAATGTTTTCATTATTACTATGGAGGTTTCAGCTTAGTGTATGTGAGTGCTGCAGTGAAGCGTTTAACTCCTCCATCAGTCATCTGGCATCTCTCGAGGATTTTGCATCCCGCTATACTACCCAAACCTCTTTAGTAATAAAATAACCCAGGAAGCTTAAAGTATCTTAAAACCAATGACAATAGTCTGTTAAGTTTGCTTATCTAATCTATTTAACGTGATGATTTTTCCCCTAATAGCGCTGATTTTAGTCGGGATTCAGAGCCCTAAAAAGAAGTTGTTATTTTCTTTTTCGGCAAAGGTTCACGGTGATCAGGAAACTTCAAAGCAATCTCGCAGCTCGTCGGTTTTCTTTTGTATTACTTTCATAATATTTTCATTTTTGGGGAAAGAGAAATTTTGTTTGGACACTGCTATGTCTTTATAGTGTACTTGAACTTCATATGATATATAAATTAAGAAATTTTCCTACAGGCGTGTTATTAGCTTAATGTGATTATGCTTTCACTGATTTACAGTAAGCGTCATTTTAGAATTCTTTGTGCATATAGTCGCTGATACATTTTCAGGTTTCCTGTTTATCATTGTACGTAACCTTGGTTTTTAAAATGATGTTATTAAAGTTCTGTTAGACTAGTAATATGTCGGCCTGGTCTCGTTCCTTAGTAAATCAAACTGTCCATCCTTCAGCAAAATGCTTATGGGACAGAAGAAGCAAAGGTGGATCAAGACGGGGTGGGAGAGGTTGGAGGCCTATGCAACTTCGCTTCTTTTTACCGAACGGATACTTTTTTTTTCGGCTAAGATATAAACTTTGTATCTAAAACGGATGGATCCAGAACTTGAGGTTTGGGTGTAGGGGCTGGGGGTGGGGGTTTGCTTTCTCCTTCGCGCCAGCAACTATAGGAGATGGCCATTAACTGGTGAACCCTAATCGAAATCCAAGGTCCTTCCGTCATACACAGGGTGATTAAACCCGCCCGCTGTGATTGGCTGCCTCAGCTGTTGCGGTGTCTCTCTCTTGGTCAACGCGCTTCATTCTCTCTTTTATTATCTTTATTTTTTTCTCCCTCCATATTTTAATTTAGCTACCTTGAATGTTCTTTGTTTGTCTCCTTTGGCGAAGCTAACAAAACTAACAAATAAAAAACAAATCAGGCGAGAATGAGGACTCGGTGGAAATTTCTCGAATAAACCAAAACCAAAAGAAAACTGTATTTAAAGAGGGTGACATTTGACAGTTGCAGGAACTGGTAGACCTGTGGTCCTCTTGACTGTCCCCAGTTAATTGGAGACACTTTCTACATCGAATAGAAATTTGGACATGTTGGTTATTGAGGAGAGGGGAAAACCGAAGCAAGGGCGCATCCAGCATGGTTTTGTTAAAGGTGGGGTGGTGGTAAAGTGGAGGGGTGGGGGGGGGGGAGAAATTGATACCAGTCCACTTCCAAACGAAACTTTCAGTTGAAAT